ATAGATGTTTTCCTTTAACTGGAAAAACAGTTGTTGGGGTTTTTTTTTTAAGCAATCTCTTCGGACAGAAGGATAAAGTGTTTAAACTATTCAAAGTGAATAACTCAAACTACTGTTTTATAAGCCCTTGGCACTAGTTTAGCAAGTTTTAAAATTCTTGATGTCACACCTTCCCTCTGAAAATTGATTAAAAGGGTGCATCAGAAACCAGCCTCAGTCAGAGCATTGACCTGACTGTGCTGTCACCAGTTTGAAATGCAAACAGAATTACGACTTAGACCAAAATATTTCTAATAAAAAACAACAAGGCCACATATCAACAAGCCTCAAACAACAGGAGGTTTCATTTGAAAAGTGAGATGCACCCTCTCCTGCCAAGTACTACAGTAGTAAGCCATGGACTTAATACAACTCTGGCTCCCTGTGAAGGGATCACAGGTTCATCTGAGGGAAATTGGAGAAGCAATTAAAAGTAAAGCTCCTGTTTCACCCAAATCTAACCTTGATTTGTCCAGTAAACTGAACATCTACTGTATGCCTGAAAGCAGAGCAGTAATGAAGCCTTGACTTGGGAAACCAAATACTGGCATGCACAGGCACACCCAGATAAACCTTTTCTGCTCAGTGGATCGCACTGAAAATCACTCACCTTGGGACCAGTTTGCAGGGGTGAGAGTGCTACTCACACACATAAGAACTGACACCATATATCCAACTTCACCTTTTCTCAGTTGTATTTGCAGCTGTGACAAAGGCTGTACCATCTTGCACTGTGCAAGCTGATGACACTTTGATCCTGTTTGAAAATCGAAGCTAAAATGTAACCACCTTTGTGTCTGTGGTCTTTCTGTAGCCTTTGGTGTAAGCAAAGCACTATCTACAGTAAAAGTAAATTAAAAAAATAACTGTTTTAACACCCTCTTGGCTTTCTCTTATGTCACAGGTTCACTCAAAAACAATGAGCCTGTCAAAGAGCCTCTGAATGTTTTATCTCATAAGGGATCACCATCTCCAGCAAACTCTGATAAGACAACGTTAGACGAACTCTGGATCCAAAGGTAAGAAGGTTCCCACGCAGGGAATTCCCTGTGCTTCCACTGAAAATTACAGTCAGAGTGGTGTCAGAGCTGGAATGCTGTCTGGGGAAGCACAGCTGGACAAACTGTAGCTCTGATCCCTGCCTTCTCACTTTGACTTGTGCTGCTTTCAGTCTTAATGATATATAGTGTTTAGTATTAGTGTCACAGTATAAAGGGCCATGTCAATATGGGTTTGGAGAAGACAGTGAAGGAAAAAGAGGCAACAAGAAGACAGTAGGGAAGGTGGGAAAAGGGGAATGTGAAGCAGGATCACCCAGTGGTATAAGTGGGCAGACTGCCTTAAGCAGCTTGTTAAGACAATAAGGAGAGCCTGTGGGCATTTCCTTATGGAACATCCCAACATCAGGGTGATCCCATTCTTGGCCTTCATAGAGAGCTCTCCTGAAGCCTGTTATACAACCCCACATGGAAAATAGGATTTTATAGCTGAAGAAGTAGCTACAAAGATGTTTACTACAGTATTCTGACTTTCTGTTTGCTGTTTACTTTGAAGAACTGAGAAGCAACAGAGGCTTTCAGTGAGGGAGCCCTTTTTGGTTTAAATCCCTCAACAACCAATGTCCAGGAAAAGGCTCTGATCCCACAACCTGTAAAGGTACATCCATCCCATAAATCTACCCTCACCCCTGCTCTATTGCCACTGCAGCCAGCCAGAGAGAGGAGCATCTACCCAGCCTTATATTTTCATATAAGACTGAGGTATTCTCCCAAACTCCCTCTCCAGCTACTCACCTCTGGTGTGTACAGCTGTGAGATAGTCCCTGCTGGTACTGTAGAAGGTCAGGCTGGAAGCACTAGGCCCCTGTCCTCTAAGGGTGCATGCACCAGCTATGTTGGTGTCTAGTGCCTTAGCACCTTTCCTTACAGAGAGGACTCCAGTAAAACAATTTTAGCCAAATGTCAAGTTGGATTTAAATAAATTAATTGCCTTGGCTAAAACTGATTGCCCTTTGGCCGTAAACTGAGCAGATGAAAACAGACAGCCCCAGTCTGCTGTGATGTCAAACCCATCTGTCTTCCTCTCCTCGCGGCATAATCGTCACTGTCAGTGTCTGACATCCTCATCCCAGCACTTAGGCAGCTCTGAAATGTGCAAATCCTGATTCTCCCTGGAGCTGGAAACAAGGAGCCTGTGCTGGGAGTCAGTTTTATCAAAGATGATGCTGTGTGGAGCTTGACAGGTCAGCACAGGTTCTAAGTCGTGTGTCTGGTGAAAGCAGGCAGTGCTGCTGAGCGGCATCGATGGTCTCTTTAACTGAGCACAGAGATTTGACAGAGAATGAGACCAAACTCAACCCATGTCCTCTACCCTTCTCCAAAGATCAACTGTAATTTATAACAGAACCACTAGAAACCTGCACTGGGGAAGCCTGCAGGAGCCTAAGAATGTTGCCATTACTTACAGTAATCCCTATTATCTCCCTCCTATTGGAAAAAAGGCCATTATGCAGATAAGACATCAAAAATATTATCACTAGTCTCAAGACATGCATTTAATCTCTCCTCAGAAGAATAAATCAGAAGAATAAAGCATTCTTCTGAAAGCAGAAGCTGGCAGTTCTGCAGAAGGGACAGTGCAGGCACCTCTGACCAGCTCTGGAAAGCTCCATGGAGTTCTGAGGAGTGAACCACCCTGATGGCAAGCAGGGCAGCAGTGCTGCATCTCTTCAGAGTCAGAAAATCCCACAGCAACCATCTAAATGCTAGGGCTGGGCAGGCACAATCCCTTTTCCTTGCATGAAGGTAACCAGCAGGTCTGACACAAATGGGTTCTTCACAGGTAGGGATGTCACTTCACATATAGCCATGCTGCATAATTCAGGGCAGGAGGTAAACACAGCTGGGGAACGTAGTAAACAGCTCAGGAAAAGGAATTGTCACAGACTTTGATTCAAATCCATATGTCTTTCAAAGCTCTAAGAGTAGTAGAGTAATTCAGTGATCTCAACACTGATGTTTGAAAACAAGATGTCCTCAAATATTATTGCTGGTGTTCCAAAATCTGCCACGTGCCCTCCATAAGATACTTCCTAAGAGCATTTTTATGCTCAAGTGGCTTTTTCCCCATGACCTTTTTTCTGTGCCATCTCCAGCTCCCTCTAAGCACTCTAGAGTTCTCCACAACACCCCAGGGCTCCCTCTCAGTCTTCCACATTGTACAAAGATCTGAACCCCCACCACGACAAGCTGCTTCCTGACACCAGACCTGCCCTGAGCATCTCAGTGCTGAGCTCCCAGCACAACCCCTGCTTTCAGAGCAACCCGAGCCAAGGCCCTGGAAGGAACCAAACTCAACAGAAAGCTGCTCTTGCCCACTGTGGTCAGTCCTGCCAGCTCCAGAGTGGCAGCAGCTGTGCAGACTGAGATCACAGAAAGCCACCACAGAGAAACATCCACCCAGAGTGTCCATCCACAACTGCCAGCTGAAAGCAGCTCCCACGGAGACCAGAAAATTAGTCATTGCAGACCCTACAAAGGAGATTCACTAATCAGTGTCTACCTTATATTGTCAGCTAATAGGATGTTCACTTTTCTTCCTTTCTAGTACAATACAGATATTTTAGCAGCATGACTGCATTATTTACCTACCATTTCCCACCAAGTCAGATTCCAAAAACGATATGTTTTTATTATGGGCTACTAGATACATTGGAAGAGAAATTCAGTGTGAAATTTCACTTTGCAAAGCTCATGGTGAGATCACGCGTCTCCCAGTGCAGAACAAACTATTTCTTTATGCTGCTTATGAAACGTCCCGTTCAGAGAAACAAGGGTCATCTAAAGATCATTTGATTATGTTTGATCTGAGCTCAAAGAATGGAAGTACTACAACAGTGAATACAACTAGTCACCTTCAGCAGCAAGAGGGAATCCAGCTTGTTTGAATTCATACAAACACGTATTGGAGAGGAACAGCACACATGTGAAATAGCACAGCACTCTGAAAGGTGCTCTGTGAGTGTGGGTTACCATCCCTTAGCCCAGCACTCTTGGTCCTGGGCAGCAGAGGGCACTGCTTTTATAGCCTGATTTAACCAGAAAAGTAGGGAAAACCTTTGGAGAGACCGGGAGCTGGAGTGGAAAAGGCCTTAGAAACTTGTGCAGTTTCCTTCTACTTATGAAATACATTTCTTATAGTCAGTTTTTCTCTGTGCTGCCAATGGTGCTTCAATATGCAAGTGGTGAAGTCAGCAATAGCTGGTGCAAACACCTGTTGAGCAAATCTTTACATTTTGTCGCTCTACGACAACGTTTTGCTCTTTTAGAGGTAAATAAATAGAGACAGATTTTTTTTTTCTATCCCTTTCTGTACAATCTGCATCTTAAAAAGTCTAAGGGCAACTGTATTTTCAGGGAGAAGTATTTTAAAAACTAGTAAATTTCCAGTAAAAATAGCCACTGCAGGTATTAAAATGTCATTACTGTCAACATCTCATATTTCACAGGATCACACAGAATAGCAAGCAATAACATACACAGTTCTAATGAAGCATCCTTCCAGCATGCAGCCGAAGGAGATCCCAATCCCAGTCTGCCCCCCTATTCCACACAGTCCCTGCTTGCCAGGTTCTTGAGCTGGTCATGTTTTCATTACTGTGCAAGGTCTAGACTTTGCCCTCTATGTCTCCCAATCTGATCTGCTTCAGCTGGACTCCTCAGCTCCTCAGTCAATCTCTTTGTTTCACTCCTTTTCTATCAGCTTCAACTTGTGATTCCCCACACAATTTCCTCAGCCTGCTATTTCTCAGGCACATTAGTCCCCTCTCTTCCCTCCTGCAGCTCATATCTCAGTGTCCTGTTGTTCTCCAGGCTCTTCACCCTTTGGCTGCTCATACAATCTTAGTATCCCACCCCTCCTCCTAGCTCCAGTGCCAAATTTTGCAGCCTTTTCCAACTCACCATTTCCTGAAGCCTGAGCTGTGTGTGAGTTCCCCTCTTCACAGCAGTCTCCTGGTCCAGAAGCAGACCTCTTCCTCCCCATGCTTGAGTCTTGCCCCTTCTGTTTTTCAGTCAAGTAGTTTTCTTATCATGCTGACTGGATCCAGCACAAGGGTCACTGAGGATCCTGCAGAAAGGTCTTTATTTGTATGTTTATATATTTATTTATAAATATGTATTTATACCTAAAGAGGCCTTCATTCACAGAGCCTAGAACTGGACCAGGCAGTTTTACAGCTCCAGTATCAGAAATTATCATCTCAGCCCAGAGGATGTGTTCTCTCCATGGGCAGCAGCTCAGGGATTTTAGGTGCTACAATCTAAGTCTGGAGCTTGTGTGTATTGTAGAGAGTGGAAAAGGGCCTATAATTCCATGGCTTTTCTTAAGTCTGGCAAAAACACAATCCTGGAAAGCCCCAAAATTTCAACTTGCATATCAACAGAAACCACAGCTTCTGGAAGGACAGAACAACAGGTTTTCTGTTTTCCTTTAGTAGGGATCCAATAATATTTTCCTAAGTCTAATAAACTGTTAACTGCTTTTAATATATAAAAAAATAACTTGTCTATGGCAAATGGTCAGTAAGTAAAAGCATAACCCTGATGATTATGAGCACCAAAAGGTTAGAAGCATCTAAAGGTAAGGATCTTATAAATGAAATTTCTGAATATTTTTAGTTATTGGTAAGCCCCAACAGATATAACTGAAGTATTTTGATGAGAGCTTAAGGAGGTTCAGGAGAACAGATATGCTCTTATCCTTTAGGATCTAAAAATACTAGGGATGAGGAGTTCTGCTTATCTACCATTAAAAAGTCATAATCAGGAACAAAAACTGCACAGACACACCTATTGCCAAAATCACTGCTAAAACCCCACATGAACAGAGGGAATCTGAATGAACCTGAGGTATGAAAATATCCTTGACTAGGTATAACATTATTCAAATCTATTATTAACTTCACACTTCTCCATAAATTTGGCTAGTTCAGATTAAAACAGTGCTTCTTACCTCATCTTGTGGCCTTTCTTGGTGTGAAACTCCCACTGACTAGAAGGGTTTGGGGAATTTTTCATGAATAAGATCTGCTGGACTGCCTCTTCTCTTTTTAGTTTCTAGAAGAGAAGGTCTAATTTCTAAAAATTGCTATAAGGGAACATTTTAAAAATGCATTTCAATTTAATTTGAAAACAAGTTCTTTGCATAGCTTTATTCTAAGGATTGCTTTTGAGTTGAAATGCACATAATAAATCTTAATTCAAATGATTACTCATTTTTCAAAATTACTAGTGCCGGAAAATACAAACCAAGATTGGAAATTCATCCCCCAAGCATAACTTAAATGAGATAATGGTAATAAAGTAGTTATAAACTCACACCAATTATCACATTTTAACACAGCCATGGACCAGGTCAGCCAGCATTTAGAATCTTTTCCAACAGCAGTACAGTGAAGCTGGGAACAGTCTGCAAGCACACAAACCCCTTCTCTGCAGAACAGATGCAAGCTCAAACCCACTTCCCTTTGCCCACAGGGTCCTGCTCTGTGGCAACAGAGCACGGCCACCAAGGAGCTTTTCCAGTTCCTGTGTGCTTTGGGAGGGACCCTAAGGATTCCAGAGACAGAACTGGGATTTGGTCTGTTGGGGCACTGTGGGAATTCTGTCACCAACAAGAGCACAGGGCATGCAGCACTGCTTGTGCAGTGCCAGGGTAGGATTTTCAACCAGTTGCTTTGTTGTTCTAGTAATCAGATTCTTTCTTTCCCCCTACAACTGGACAGGGAATTTTAGGATGAATTAGAGGGATTTTTGGTGAGAAAACTGGTTTGTCATCAGGAGATTGTACTGATTTTGATAACTGGGGGAAAGCTTTTTAGGCTCTGCATCAAATTCTTTGTTCTTACAGTGAGAGAAAAAAGAAAACCTCCTCCAAACTCCCACCCGATGGTTAAGATTAGGTGGAGTAGGAACTTCTCCAGGCCTGAGCCTGCTGTTCCACAGCAGTGGAAAAGGATCCGAGGTGGCAGTGCCACGGTCCTGCCATCCATCTGCACGTCTGCCACCTCTGCTCTGCTGGCACTCGCTTTGAGCTCACCCTGTAGTAACACCAAACACACAGAGCTGGTTCTACCAAAAAAAATGAATCATTTTCCATGAGTTTAGCTGCCCAAACCTGTTCACTGAGAACGAGACAAACTTGAGTGAGTGCTGGCATAACAGCAGAGGTAGAAATCTGCCTCAGGGGGTCAAGTGAGAAGTGGAATTGAGCAGCTAGATCAGCTTAAACTGCACACAAAGTCCTAGCGACTGTGGAACTAGGGAGGAAGAAAGGGGCAGTTATTTTGGAGCTACTCCACATAAATAATTCAGTATTGACTGACTTAAAGTGGTGTTTGGTGAATAAGCATTTGCCAGGTTGAAGCACCTTTCCCAGTGACCAGAGAAAGCAGAGCAGCTGCAGGAAGAGAGACTGACCTGCCCTGGAACAGGCATGTGGGATGTGAGAGAATGACACGGCCGTGACTCTGACCTGGATCCTCCGTGACCAGCATGAATATCCCAGTCACCAGATCGCTGTGACAGAATCACTTGTTTGCCTGCCTTTAGTTTGCATGACAAACTTGAAAAGCTTTGTTTTTGTCTCCAAACAGAAAAGCACGATTTAGAAAATCCCAGGACGTTTTGTAGGACAAAAATATCTCCATCTTGCTAAATATCACTTTTTATTCCAGTTCCAAGAGCACTGGGAACACTCTGTCACTTCACTTGGGAGAAAAAGTATTTCTCACGCGCTTGTTCTGTTTCTGGACATCCTCTGTGTGTCAACGTAAAGTACAAGAATAAAGCTGGAAAGGAAGAAAGAACAACATCTTTGAAAGACCAAATTGCAATTAAGAAAGGAAGGAAAAGTAGAGTAGTGGTCATTGCTGCGCAGTGGAAGAGCTCTCGGAGACACGAACATACAAGCTGCGGCCTCCCATGGCCACAGGGGGCATTTCACTCGCAGCTGGTGTTCTCACCTCTTCAGAGCTTCCGATGTTTTTATTATCATTAGTACTTCCAGTGATACATTCAGATTTTCGTCTTGGACCAAAAGTGAAATTATGTTGGAAGAAATGAAGGAAATGGAAGACAGGCAGGATCAAATTACCAGACAGTTATAGGATCATGAAAAGATGCTTTCTATTTCTGCAAGTTTTTCATAGCATGACCCAGACACTTTTTCTAAAAAGAAATTTCAATTTGCAACAGATTTAACCTTGGGAGTGAAGCAATGTGAGGGGTTAGAATCTGTTAAACTCTTAAAGCATACTTCTGAAAGAATTTTTTTTTCTTAGTAAATACACTCAAAAGTTATATTTAGATATCTATTCATCCTAGCAATGTCAGTAAGAGCTTATGCACTGATTTCCCTTTGCATATGAGAGAGAACTCCCCACTGCTCTTGGCCCTTCCCTCTAGAAAAGAGTAAACAGCATATCTGGTTTTCCAGATTTCAGGATAACTAAAGATCACTTCTTTTCTAAGAAAGAAGCTTTTTAGCATCCCACCCACTCACTAAAACCCTTGACAATATTCTTGCCCTAGCGGCAAGCCACCAAAACATCAGTCGTTAGGCAGAGTCTCTGCCGCTTTATCCCTTCCACAAGGTTTTAGCCGCCCCCTCACTCACCTCTCTCCCTAAACCCCCTAATCCCCAGTGTTTAATGGTGATAACCCACTTTCATCCCATATTGACCATCTACCCAGTGACAATCTCAGCCCCAGCTCTCAGGCTCTCCTGCTCCTCTCTGAGCACAAAGCAGGCTCCAGCTCTCACCCTCACCCTGGTATTTCCTTTCGGTTGTCTGGTCCTTCCAACCTCCTGGTCCGGGACTGGACATGAACTGGACTCACAGCCTTCTCTGAGCCTTCAATGACATTTCCAGCTGTTTTTCTTTCCCGTTCTGCTTCTTAATGACTTAATGACTGAGCTCTCCAGTGTGCCAGATCTAGATCTAGTTCACATAAGCTGAAGGACTTTTTCTGGACATACCATCATGTACTGATTAGAAGCTATCCTGGCATATGATTTAGGAAAACCAATATAAAAATGTTAAAAAGGAAACCATTTTACACATACAGACCAATATACAGATTTTATGCTGTTACATAAATTACCTTACCATGTACAGAAAAATCATGGTTATTTATGCAACAGGGAGAAAGCACAAGGAATAGCCGAGCACTTTCCCTCTGTTAACTCCTCAGTTGCAATGTGGTGCAGATGACGTTTTTTTTGCTGAGAGTTATTAACGTGTAGGGAAGAGCTGCACCCAAACCTGTCCACAAGCACTCCAACTGATCCGAGGTGTAACCGTACTCTGGAGCTCAAGAGGATTTATCCCCGAGGCGGAAAAACAATTACCTGAACGAAGAGAGATATAGATCATTGAGATACTTACTGCCTAAACGAGGCAATATATCCTTATGGAAGTAGCGACGCTAAGGAAAGGGAGACGGGAGAAATGAGCGATCGGGTGCGAAGCCCCGCCGGAGGAGGAGAGGCAGATAGCGGCCAATCCTGTGGGGTAATCAGGGGTGCACTTCCCGGCAGGAGGGATTAGGCTGAGTTTCCCAGTTACATTCCTCCATCTCAGGGTTTCGCCCCTGGAGAAGAAATGCACCATATGCACCAGATCTGGAAGCAGTTCAGGAGAGCCCCCCTCTCCCACCCCTTTCTCTCCCTCCAAGCCGGCGCCAGGCGCACATAGGCAGAGAGGTGCAGGGGATGGGGGGCAGCGCTGCGCCCCGGGGCTGAGGGAGGACAGGTCAGTGCCAGGGCAGGACCCCTGCCCGCTGTGGGGTGGCCGTGCATGGAGGAAAAGGGCTGGGGCCGGTGCATGGGGTGGGATGGGGTGTGTGGGTGCTCGCTGGGGGAGGGTGTCTTGCTGGGGGGGAAAGGAGGGGATGGAAAAGGGGCTTCCCTGCATCTGAGGAAGCAGCCTCTGTGCAGGAGCGCAGGGGGGATGGAGGTAGGGGTGCCTGTGAAGGTGGGGGGGCCCTGGGGCAGGGATTGCTGCCTTTTGGGGGGGCCCCTGGGGAGGAGGGAGTCATCCTCCCGGCGGAGGAGGGACCTGTGCCGGAGCGCTGGAGGGGAGCCGGGGGGCTGAGGAGGTCTCTGCGGGCAGGGGTGCCGGGCACGGGCTGGGGGCTCTGAGAGGGGAGCAACGACACCTGAGGGGTCTATGGGGGCTCGGAAAAGATTTTGGAGACGCTGAAAGGGTGTGCAGAGGGGGCTCTGAGAGGCTGTGGGGGAACTCTGGGGTCAGGTGGGCGCTCAGAGGGCTGAGTTTGAGGGGCTCCGAGGGAGCGGGGCTGGGAACTCTGCCGGACTCTGAGGGGTCTCGGGAGGGATTTGGGGAAGGCTGAGGGAGCTCCGCTGGGATTTGGCAGAGCTCCGTGGAGCCTCGGAGGAAATCCGGGAACGAGGAGAGGGGCTGCAAGAGGCTAGGGGGGCTCTGAGGGGTTTGCGGGAGCCCGAGAGGAGACTCAGAGGGGAGTTTGAGGGGGTCTCTGGGAGGAAAATCTGTGGGGAGGCTCTGAGGGGGTCTGAGGGGAGGCTCTGAGGGAGCTGCGTGGGGGTTTTGGCGGGAGAGCCAGAGGGGGTCGCTGAAGAGGTTTTGGAAGGCTCTGAGGGGATTTTGGTGGGGAGCCCCTGTGGATGCCTGATGGGGGGTCTGAGGGGAGGCTCTGAGGGGATTTGAGGGAGCTCTCTAGAGATTTTGGGGGAGAGCCATGGGGACGCCTGGGGGGGGGGTCTGAGGAGAAGCTCTGAGGGGAGCGGTGAGGCTCTGAGGGGGCTTGGGGGCAGAGCGTCTCGGGTGGGGGGTGTCTAAGCAGAGGCTCTGAGGGGGTTTCGGGACTCAGAGGGTCTCGGGGGGCTGCGGGGGTGCCCCGGGGGCGGCCGCAATTCCCCTCTCCCTCCCGCGCAGGCTGCTGCCTTCCTACCCCCGTTACCGTGGCAACCGCCCGGGCTCCCCCAGCCCCGCGCCGCCGCCGCCGCCGCCGGAGCTGCTGGGCAGCCGCCTGCCGCCACCGGCCATGGAACTGCTGGCCGCGGCCCTGAGCGCCGCCTGCGCCCTCGACCAGGACGGCTCGGCAGGACAGCCCGGCAGGTGAGGGGGGGCTGAGGGCGGGGGAGCGAAGGGCGCGGGCGGGCCGAGGGGCCGCTGTCCCGCCGCCTTTCCGCCGCGGCTCTGAGGGCTCCCGTCCGCCTCCCGCAGGAACCCCCCCGCCGCCGCTGAGGAGACCCCCGCCGGCACCGCCGAGCCGCCGCCCGCACACCCCATGACGGCCGACTCGTGGAGGAACCTCATCGAGCACATCGGTAAGGAGCCGTGCCGGGGGGAGCCGGGCGGGCTGTCCGGCCGCCGATGCGCCCTCACACAACTTCGCCGCTCGTCCCGCTCCCGCCCCGCCGGCGGCGCAGCAGCCCCGACGGGTGCCCTCCGCCCAGCCGGCCGCCTCTCCCTGAGCTCCCAAACCCACCCCTGACCCCCCACACCAGACCTGAACCCGCGCGGTGTGCGGCCGGGGCGCCTCGGGCACGGCTGTGCTGCGGGACCCCAGCTCCCCGTCCGTGCTGGGAACCTCCGAGCTGTCGCTGTAAAACATCACTGTCGTGGCCTTTTGCCGTCTTTAGGGGCATCAGGTTCGTGCGCTGCCTGGCAGGAGATTAATGCAGTTGCTGAGCAGCCTGACTCCCGTTCATAAACAACGATTACTTCTTGTAATTACGAAGCAATTAATCATTCAGGCTACCCCAAACTTTCTGGTAAAATATGATTTTGTGTACTCAAAAGACATAAGACTAAAGTATTGTGTCACTCGTCCTGTCGGACATTAGTTGTGTGCACGGGGTTCGCATCTATTCGATGTAGCGGCCACTGGCATAGCACTTGCAAGAGAGGAGTGAGGGATTTTATCATTTGTGGTCTCTAAAAAGACAGAGTTGAGGTTACCTGGGTGGTTGTGGAGGAGAGGACTGTCACGCTTTTGCTCTTGTGGTTTGTTTCTCTTTTTTTTTAAAATTATTATTATATTTTGTGACATGCAGAGAGGACCTTCACAGCTTGTTTCTTTTATTTCCCATATCAGAATTGTGACTTTCCTCAGCGGGATTTGGGCAATGGCAAAGTAAAACCCCATCCTGGGGCGGGTTTTGTGGCGGGAATATAGAAGCTTTGTTTTTAAACAATTCTGCTCAGTTCCAGGGAATGAAACAAACACACTTTAATCTAGAGGGCAGGAATGCAGCACTTAGCATGGGAAAATCAGGGAGATAACTCTCACGAGCACCAAAGCAAACCTCCCTGGCACAAATGAGGAGGCTTCTCACGCTGTTTGCTGTCAGGTTGTGGCAGGCAAGGCTGGTTCTTGCTGTGCCTGATGCCACTGGGACAGTGCTGGGGAAGGAGGCTGGTGTGAACCCAGCAGCTTGCCAGCGTCTGTCAGAAAAACTAGCTGAGTCTGGGGCCTTCTGGAGGAAAGTGGTGAACAATTTGCATGCGCGTTACCAGATTTGTTACCTGCTTTTGGCTGTGTAGGTACTAATCTGCCAAGGGAGATGTGTCAAAACGTTGTCAGTTTACTGTGACTGTGCAGCTAAGAGGTGAGATAAAAATACTGAAGCCAGCAGGATTTCAAAGGAACCCAGTTGCTATATTCATATATATTTTTGTGTGCTGTATATCAGAGGGAAGGTGTGCAAAAGCTCTGCACACATCAGTGTAACTGCAAATAGGTCTGTTTTGACCCTGACGGAGGAGACAGGTTTTGACAACCAGAGATGCAACGCTTGTCCCCAACAGAGATGTTACATCAAATGGCTGGAGCACACTCGCTCCCTTCCCTCCCTCCTGCCTTTGAGGCATTAGTGGACTTTTTGCCTGAAACTGGAGCAGAGAATTTCAGAGAAAACGTCTCTGGGCCTCCTGAGATTTTACATAGCTTTCAATGTAATAACGTTTACTTTAAGAGCGCTGCTAACTCTCTGAGGCAAGGATTTCCACAATTAGTAACTAGTTTTTCAATTACCCTCCCAGGTTTTGAGAGAGCTGGGAAAGGGAGACTGTGACAGCAAAATGAGATGGAATAAACAGAAAGGGAAAAGTCTGTTATGTACTATAAAAACTATGTAAACACGCCTTAGGAAGGTCAGCCTTAGACACTAAAGTCAATAATTAACACCAAACTCATGGTCTGACCACAGACCACAGGTCACAGTAAGGACAGTCGGGACAATAAGGAATGAAGGGAGCTGGTACAGGTCTCTGACATTTTGTACTTGTTCACTTAATTAAATGTAAGCATTTACTAAATCATTATATCCTCTGAGTCACATTCGACACTTTCATTCTACACAGTCAGTTCCCAGATGTATTGTTCTCCTGTCAACATGTCAAGACCCTGTTCCCTGACCTTGCATCTGTTACCTGTCCTGTGTTGTGGCCATCTCCTGCTCCGTCTGGATGAGGCTTTGGCATAGCTTCTCTCTCTCTCTCTCATCTAAGTCACTTCTCTACCCATTGTAACCTCTTTACTGACATATGGATAGACCTTTTAGACCAAGAAAGTGGGAATATCTCTTATTCTTGCTAGCACAGCCTTCCTTGTTTCTTCCTATGCTTCTGCCTAAAGCATTTACCTACCTGCCTTTTGTCTTTCTTCTGGTAGCACTTTCCTGCTTTCTCTCCATACTGCTGTCTGTGGTAGAGCTTCAGCCAGTCTCTCTTTATTTCCCTTGCTGTCATTTCTGGATGACAGTCAGTCAGATCTCTCCATGTCTATATTTGCCTTTGCCTGCCACTGACGGCTCCATAGGTCTTATCTCTTGGGCAGTCAGGGAACCTGGAAACAAAATCAAGTTTCATTATCTGCAGTTTGTTTCCTTAAAAGCAAGGGGGAAATAGTCTTGAGGACGTTTTTTGAAGAGCTGCTCTCCAGATCTGCACAAAGGGCCCTAAATCCCCCTTACACAAAATATCCTCTGACTTGCAAGGCAAACCCACCAGCACAACATGGCTGTACAGTCAATGCTGCAATGTAAGGATCTCCAATATGAGTAAAATAGATTTCACTTCCCAGCGTATTTTCCCTCGAGTGGAGCACTGCCCACGCTCCTGCAGGGTGTTACTGCCCAGCCTGTCCTGCTCTCTGTGGGGCAGAAGGACCCAGTGCTGTGCTGCCCCAGAGCCCTGAGCACAGGCTGAGCCTGCAGATCAGTACTGCTGAAAGCAGCTCCCATTTAACAGGCTCTCCACTCTTTCCTGAAGAAGCCTTTCCACCCTGCTACATCCTCAGCACCCTCCCTGATGCTGAAGAACAGGCAGTGATGCTTAGGAAAGCCATATAAGCCTTGTTGACGCAGAGAGAAATTACATAAGTAGCAGCAGAGTGCAAAACTTCAGGGGAAGTCTCCTCTGCTCAGCATTGTGTAGGAAGCTAACAGAAGACTATATGGTTTCCTAGGCACAGCTCCCCTTATTGCTATTTTAATCCAGTGTTGAACATCTTTCCAGGAAGAACAGATAACAGGATACGCTCGCAAACTGCAGCAATGCTGTCCTTGTGTCTGTGCTTTCCCCCAGCACATTTCCCATTATAGTTTTAGCAGTGACTGGTACAGAGCCTCGT